AAGCCTGCTTCTCCCTCTCCCACTCCCCCTGCTTGTGTTCCCTCTCTTGCTGTGTCTCTCTCTGTCAAATAAATAAAATCTTTAAAAAAAAAAAACCCCAAAAAACAAAAAAACAAAAAATCCTACCAATTGCTCAGTGCTGCCAAGGGAATCAAATATGTGATTGCACATCCAGCCCTCAGTGTGCTTCCTAAACTACCAGAAATGACTCAGTGTATATTCAGTGTTATTCTAATAGTCTTGGAGGGCTGGGGTTCCGCTTACATGCCTAATGAAGAGTTACTAATTGAATAGACTTTATTCACCCAATTTTTCCTTCAGGAAAAGCTTCAGAACGCTGTGACAAATTTGAGGCAACTAGAAGAGGAATGTATGAAACTGAAGGTGTTCACAACAAAGCAAATAAGCGAGTGGAATGTAAGAATTTGTGTTTATTTATCTCAAGCTCTTTTCCATCCTAGAATGTAAGCATAGAGGATGGTTGGCAAAACACAATAATAATTTATTTTTACTAAACCAGACCAAATGAAACCAGATGAAACCCCAAAAAGAAACCGTTGTTTGTTTTTATGCCCCTAGTTGTCTACATCTGTGAGAATTTATCTCCAATCCCTTCAACTTTTCAGTAGTAATTGGCTAGGATTCCTGATGCCTCAGGAGAAGCAGAATTGGTACGTCTATTTAAGTTAGAGCCATCCTTGACTAGGTTTCAAATTTTAAACCCCTCAAAGTACCTTCCTGGTTTGAAGGCCTCAACTTTATTACTTTGGCACACTTACCACAGTGCAGGCTGTGGTTCAGAAATCAATCTTTGTGAACATTAAGGAAACAGAATCACTCCAGGTTGAGATTCATATTGCTCAAGCCCATGAGGCTGGTAAAAGAAGTCTCTTTGATTTATAAGGAGGGTCATAAGTGCTGCAAGAACCTATACATATAAACTGCAGACTAAGAGTCTCTAAGATGATCCCCATTGACTGACTAGCTCTGCATGATCAGAGATGCATCCCCTTTTGGAAATATTTATGTAATCCATCAACTTGTAGCCAAATCCCTCAGGCTGGTGGACCATTTTGCCTTTCTCAGGGGTCTCTTCCATCCTCTGCCCTGATCCTTTGTTTGTGGATGTTAAACTCTCCAAGGACGCTCTTACTTCCCTTATTTCTGGGATCTTGGGCCATGCGGAGGATCTTGATTATAACTGATATATACAGAAACCCCATCCATGACCCTTCTAGCACATCCTCTCAGTCATCAAAACCCTGTCTGAATTGGGGAAGCACTAGTGGAAATTGCAATTCTGTCTCTCCCAAAATGAAAGCCGGTCCCCAAAAGATGTAGCACTTGGCTTCTGTCAGTCTTACACATAACGATGATTACTGGGACCCTGGGTTGGTGGTGAATATTTCTCAGTTAACTATGATAAAATCCTGCCACCCAGACCCGCCCCTGCTGAGACCATGGACTTCCCTACTAGCCTGGTTGTCTTAGAGTCCAGGCTCAGTGATGTTTATTACAAGCTTTTGCTTCAAGAAATTTCCTCAGGCTCAGAAATACCTCCTTATGACCCAATAAAAACTCAGTTTTTTTTCTCTGTAACTGGTAAAGTGTTTGACCTCAGCCTTAGTTCCACAATTAAATTATCTGGCACTACTGCCCCTCCTTCCCCCTGCATCTTGGCTGAAGAAGAAGGAAATAAATCAGGTGACTGTAGAGAATCATGACAACTGTCCTCTCCCACATCTGAGTGCCTGCCTCCTAGGCATGACTCTGCGGCAGGGAATTTATGACTTTCTTCCAGCTCTGATGACTCAGTAGCTGAGAAAACGTTCTTCTGTGTATGTTAAAATACACATAACATAAAATTTACCATATTAGTCATTTGTAAATGTACAGTTCATTGGCATTAAGTACTTTCTCATTGTTGCACAACTATCACCACACATCTATTAGTGGGAACTAATAGTGGAAACTAATCTCCAGAACTTTTTCGTCATCCCAAACTGAACTCTGTGCCCATTAAACACTAACTCCCCATTCCTTTCTCCTCTCAACTTCTGGTAACCACTATTCTACTTTCTGTCTCTATGAATTTGACTAGCACAGATACCCCATATAAGTGGAATCATATAATATTTGTCCTTCTGTTTCTGGCTTATTTCACTTAGCATAATGTCTCCAAGATTTATCCACATCATAGCATACGTCAGAATTTCATTCCTTTTTAAGTCTTAATAGTATTCCTTTATCTATATACAACATTTTATCAATTCATTCATCGATGGACATTTGGCTTGTTTCTACCTTCTGAGCATACTTTCTTGACTCTAGGAGAAGATAGAGATTCAGAAACAAAAAATCCAGTCTGACTTTAAGGTTCTTCAGAGATTCCTACAAGAAGAGGAGAAGTCCCATCTGTGGAGACTGCAGAAAGAGAAAGAGCAGACTCTAAAGAGACTGAGAGATAACAAGGCCACTCTGGAACAGAAGAGCCAAGAACTCAAGAGTCACATCCTGGAACTAGAGGAGAAATGTCAGGGCTCAGCCCAGAAGTTGCTGCAGGTGGGGCTGTGCCCTCGGGGGGAAGGAACTCTTGAGCTATTAAGGGAAGAAGAAGGGTGAGGGAACATGGGCAGATTGGCGAGGCCTGCCTGCCTCACTCAAAAGTGGCACATTGGTATGGGGAATTTAAAAAAATGTTTCTTTTAGATATACCTCAGTATGAGGTGGCCTTTACTAGTCTATAGCGAATCACAAAAATCTGTTCATGTGAATCGGAAAAATGTAGCCCTTCTGGTGGATATGGTGGGGTCCTTGGCTAAATGGAATCACGGGGTAACTTTTGCTACCACCTGCCTCTTTCTGTGTGCACAGAACCCCGTGAAACTGCCTCCTGAAATCCTCCACCAGGTGACTGGTGGGTAACAAAGTAGGGCAGCCAACATGAGTGACAGTCTTTTCCCTAATTTGCTTGTAGAGCCCTCCACAGCTCTTATGGAGCCTTCTTTCAGCTATATGAAAGATCCAGCCCATTAAGATAAAGTATGCCTGGAGCTATTAATTCTAGTTCCTGCTAATAGGACTCGAGGTTACACTGTAAGTCTGAGACTAGCATGACTGCAGCACCACCATATGATATGCCTGCCACCACTATCTTAGTGGGCCATTCTCAGGGGCTGTGCGTGGACTCACCACTCAGGACCCTTAGTGATAGGTGGTCTTTCATATGGGCTCACTCTGAAAGGGATTAGGTCACTGACAGCAAGTCTTGGCAGAGGAAGCATGGGCAAAGCTCCTAGGCCTCTTCCCTAAGCATCCCACAGGCTGTCATTGCAGACACCACAGCTTGCCACAGATCTCAGCAGGAAAGACGACAGACTCAGAGGTTGATAAACATCCTGCCATGCTGACTATCCCAGGGCGCTGCGATGGGAATCATTCTGAGTATCCATCAATATCTAAGGCTAGGGTCACTCTCTTAACTTCTTTGGAAGGAGCATTTATAGAGAACAGCCCCATGTGCCTCCACTTACTTTTTGTCTTTGTTTCTCCTTAGGATGTGAAAGACACTTTGCACAGGTAAGTCCTATATGAATGCGCGAGGGAAGGGGTATGGGTATATAAAGTTGAATGGAATGTATCACTGAAGAAGTCCTTGGCCTCTGCTTATTCTAGGAGTTGGGCTATGACGTTGGAAAGACCAGAGGCCCACTCTTTGGAGCTTGATACTGTGTGCAGTGTTTCTGAGCTTTATTTTGATGTGAAGAAAATGTTAAGGAGCTATCAAGGTATGTGAAGAATCCCTAAATGCTATGGATGGAAGGGGCCTTAAGTCGTAACCATGTTCACCACCTGTCCCCAGCCGGGCTCACAGCAGGAGAGGTCATTTAGTGATTTTCAGTGGAGCTGTCTTGCCCTCCCTTGTTAGCATGCTCTAGTGCTTAGACAAGGACATAGCATACTGGTTATCTGTGCAGACCCTTCGCATTCCTGATCCCCCATATATTGGCTGTGTCACCCCAGGCAAATAACTTCCTCAGTTTCCGCAGCTGAAAAATAAAGATATGAACAATTCCCACTTCACTGGGTTGTCATGAAAAGTAAGTGTGTCAACATGTGTAAAGTGCTTAGTGCAGTGTCTGGGACACAGTGTTTGTGGTTAATATTTTAATCAACTCTCAGAGCAATATAAGAAAGATCAGTGAGTATTATGGACTTTGATTCAAATGGTTTCAGGACCTTGACCCAGACAACACAGATGGTAAATATTAGAACCATAATGAAAAATGAATTTTACCAATTCCAAAGCCTGAACTTCCTGCTTCATTGATTCTCTTAATCAGTGCTTTCTATATTTCTGCAATCTGTTATTTATAATTACAAAATTTAAAAAGCTCTGAAGACTGAAAGTTTTTTAAAACTTGTTTGGCTACAAAATCAGACCTAACCTAATATGATTTGGTGACTGTATTATCTCTTCCAGTAAACAAATTTAGCAGCTTAAAATTATACACACATATTATCTCATAAGTTTTGTGGGTCAGAAATCTGGGCACAGCTTAGTTGGTCCTTTGCTTAGGGTCTCACAAAGCTGCATATTAAGGTGTTGGCCAGGCTGGGTTCCTGGAGACTAGACTAGGGAAGAATTCTCTTCTAAGCTTACTCAGGTTGTTGGCAGAATTCATTGCTTTATGATTATAGGGCATAGGCCCTGGCTTTTTGTGAGCTGTTGGCTGGAGGCTGCCCTCAGCTTCTAGAAGGCACCCCTCAAACTCTTGCACATGGGCTTCTCAACATGGCCAATTACTTCTTCAAAGTGAGCTCAGGATAGTGTCTCTAGAGCATGTCTTTTAGAAAGACGGAGTCCCATATAATGAAATATAATATTAGGAGTCACATCTCATCACTTTTGCCATATTCTGTTGGTCAGAGGTAATTCACAGGTCCTGCCCACACTCAATTGGAAGGAATTGCATAAGAGCATGAACACCAGAAGGCTGGGACTATGGAAGACCAAACTGAATCTAACAATACATTAAAAAAAAATCATTTGCCATTATCAAGTGGGATTTATTCCTGGGATGCGAGGGTGGTTCAATATTGGCAAATCAACAATGTGATACATCAACAAGAGAAAGGATAAAAACCATATGGTCATTTCAATAGATGCAGAAAAACATTTGACAAATTATAACATCAATTCATGATAAAAACCCTCAACAAAGTAGGTTTAGAGGGAACATATCTCAACATAATAAAGGCCATATATGAAAAACCCACCACTAACGTACTACTCAATGGTGAAAAACAGAACTTTACCCCTAAGCTCAGGAACAAGACAAGGATGTCCACTCTCACCACTGTTATTCAACATAGTACTGGAAGTCCTCGCCACAGCAATCAAACAAGAGAAATAAATAAAAGGCATACAAATTGATAAGGAAGAAGTAAGACTTCCACTATTTGTAGATGACATGATACCTTATATGGAAAACCCCAAAGACACCAGCAAAAAACTACTAGAACTACTAGAACTATATTTAGTAAAGGTGCAGATTACAAAATCAATATACAGAAATCTGTTGCATTTCTCTACACTAATAATGAAGCAGCAGAAAGAGAAATTAAGGAAACAATCCCATTTACAGTTGCACCAAAAATAATAAAATACCTAGGAATAAACTTAACCAAGGAGGTGAAAAACCTGTACTCTGAAAACTATAAAACACCGATGAAGGAAATTGAAGACAATACTAACAAATGGAAAGATATTCCAGGCTCCTGGATTGGAAGACCAAATATTGTTAAAATGTCTACACTACCCAAAACAATCTACAGATTTAATGCAATCCTTAATCAAAATACCAACTGCATTTTTCACAGAAGTAGAACAACAACGACAAAAAATTCTGAATCCAAAACCCATTTGGCCCCACGGGGTTCAGATAAGGATTATGAACCTGTATTTGTTTTCCCCTCAAGTTAACAACAACAAACAACAATAAGAACAATTACAAAACAAAGCAACTCTGTATTTGATCCTATAAAGATTCAGGAAAGGCAAAAATAGGACTCCGTGCAAATCACATCCAGATTTAACCGAGCAGATTTGTCTACTCTTGGCTTTTACAGAAGGATTACAACATTGTGCAAGTCAATCTCTTTCTAAAATGGGCTCATCTTTTAAATAGATCATTTATCATATTTATCATATTATTAAAACTTTTCTTCTTTCAAAAGTAATACAAATAAATTATAATCAGTCAAACAATATAGATAGATATGAAGAAAAATTCAAGGTTTCTCCCGCCTCTCTCCAATCCTACTTCTCCAGGTAACAGTATCTATGTCTTTCTCTGTTTGTTTGTTTTTTTACAAACACTTAATATATAGAATGTCACTCATTGCTTTTTAAAGCTAATATTCCCTGAGTACATCATAATTATACGTAACCATATCCCTACCATTGGAGCTTCAGGCTGCTTCCAGCACTTGAGTATCAAACACTGCTGTAAATAACTGTCTGGGCCGTGCAAACTTCCATCCTTGTGTTTTCATACCTGTAGGACAAATACCTAGCACTGGGGGTGCTGGGCTTGTTGTTAATCTTAATGCATATTATGTGTGGCAACATACAGTCTCACCAGCACCAAGAAAAGCAACTTACATATACCTTTTCATGACAGATGAGAAAAGCTACACATGTGTTACCTGTTTCATACCACAGTCCTCTCTGTAGGAAGCATTTTTCACTTTATAGATGAGGAAACTAAGACACAGTGAGGCAGCCAATAAGTGGTAACTCTGTATCTCTCAGAACACACTCTCTTAATCACTCTGCAATGTGGCAAAAAAATGAATATGTTGTGGTTTTGAATCCATTGTTTTGTGGAGCGGGCATTGAAGTTTATGTATAGTTGGTTTTGTTTGTTGCTGGTGCACACCATGCTACCGTGAATACTTTTCCATGTGTCCTTGTGTTCTGTGGATGGTTTCCTCTGAGGCTATACCTTGAATTGAAAATGCTGCTGTGTAGGGATGCACATCTTAATTTGACCAAATACTGCAGATCTTGAAATTGTATCGGTTTATATCCTGCCGACAACATAAGAGCTCCCACCATTCCGCATCTCCCTGAGTCTTTGCTTATAATTTATAATTTTTGACAATCTGATGGATCTGAAATGGTACCTAATTGTGGACTTAATTTGTGCTCTTTGATTTCACGAGCAAGGTTGAGCCTCTTGTAAGTCCATTAGCCTTTTAGTCTTCTGTGATTTATCCATGATTTGCTCTGATTTAAGCATTTTTCTATTGGGTTCTTTCTCTTATTGACTCATGGGAGCTTATTATAGCTAATATCTCTGGTAATGTATGGCATTTTACATTTTCATTCTATCTTTTGATATATAGGGTTTCAAGACACATTTTCCTTCAAAGTCTATGACTTGTTTCCAAGGAGCTCCGTCATCATCAATAGGCATTGAATTTATCAATGAGTTAGTTGTATTAATTGATAGGATCATGCAGTTTCTCTCCTCTAATCTGTTAATGTGGTGATTATGATAATTTTCTAATGTTAAACCATAGTTGCAGTCTCAGAAAAAGCTAAATTTTGATATATATACAGTATATATAACATAGGTTTGATAGCCAAATATTAATTTGTCATGAAGATCATTATTATGCTATACTTAGGTTGCTAGATAAAGGTTAGTTGCATAGAGCAGTTAAACAAATAATCCACTGAGCAAACAGGAATGCTGACATTTGAAAGTAAAGAAGGTTTAGCTGATACCTATATTCTGATAGCATGATGACTATGATAGAGTGATGATGGAGACAGTTGCTAGGTATGTCAGGAGAGGCTGCTTACCCATCAGACCTCCTCACATAAAAGTGAGTCATATGTTTTCCTGGTAAGTGTGCGTCTGCAAACACCTTCCTTCCCCATTACTATAACTAATACTCTGTCAGCTCTGTTGATGACAACATTGTATGTTGGCTCCTCACCTTTACTCCTGGACTCTTTGTCTAGTTGGTAATAAAAACATCCCAGTCTTTTCATACAATTATACACACAAACAGAATATTATATATCTAATAATATATATTAAAACATTTGATATATAATATAGAGAGATTATTTTTGTATTATGTTATGTTAGTCACCATACTGTACATCATTAGTTTTTGATGTAGTATTCCATGATTCATTACATGAGTTTTACTAAGAACTATTTTTCTAGAAAGTTACTCATGTTGTTGATATTTTCAACTTTATTAGCAACATAAAGTTTATCATAAATTCTCTTAATTTTTAATTTCTATATGCATTCCAATTTTGACTTCTTTTTTTTTCTCCGTTGATAAATCTTTTTAGAGATATGTCTCTTTTCATGAAAGCTACTGTTGGCTTTTCCCTCTCCATTGCATTCTTACTTTCTTTCATTTCATTGGTTTAGTATTTAAACTTTAGTTTCCTTTTTAAAAAAAAAAAAATTCTCTTTGGGTTTCTCTGTTCTTTTTTTTTTTTTTTTAAGATTATTTATTTATTTAGAGAGCACATGATCAAGGGGAGGGGCAGAGGGAGAGGGAGAGACAGCATCTCAAGCAGACTCCCCACTGAGCTCAGAGACCCATGTGGAGCTCTGTCTCATGACCCTGAGATCATGACCTGAACCTAAACCAAGAGTTGGATGCTCAACTAACTGAGCCACCCAAGAGCTCCAAATCTGTGTTCTTTTTCTATTTTAAGCTGGATAGTTAGCTTCTTAATTTCCAGCTTTTTTCTCTTTCTAAAATAAGCACTTAAAGGCTATAAATTTTCCCAAAAATTCCACCTTAGCTTCGTTGTATAATTTTTTATATGTAGCATTTATTATTGCTCAAGTCTGTATGTCATCATATTATGATTTAGAAACACTTACATTTCCTAATATTGAGAAGATTTTTTATTGATCTTTTTAATTGGTTTCTAACCTAATTGTATCGAGGTGAGAGAACATGGTCTATGCAATATAGGTTCATTGCAATTTGTTCAGACTTGCTTTCTGACTAGTCTACTCAATTAGTACATATTTCATCTATACTGGAAAAAAGTGTGTATTCTCTATTTATTAGTTGCTGAACTTTACATATAGTTACTAGATGGGGCTTGTTGGGTTGTTCAAATCTTCCATATCTTCCCTTTTTTGCCTGCTTGATCTATCAATTATGGGAAAAAAGCGTGTTAAAATATCTCATGATGATTGTAGAGTTGTCATTTTCTTCTTGTAATTCTGTAATTTTTACTTTGTATATTTTGAGACTATAGTATCAGTGCATGCTTGTTTGGAATTAGGATCTCTTCCTAGTGAATTATATATTTTTCTTTATTAGGTAACCCTTTTCGTCCTTGATAATACTTTGCCTTAATATCATTTGATATGAGTATATAACTGTAACAGCTATATATTATCCATCCTTTAACTCTAAACCTTTCTATGTCTTTTTGTTGTATGTGTCACTTATAAGCAATATGAGGTAGAATTTTTAAAATCCAGTTTGATATCTTCTCCTTCAAGTGGTATTGCCAACCTGTAAGCATTTTAATTTCTTAACTTGGGTTTGCCTGAATCATTAAGATAATAAAAATTGAACTCCAAACTTTTTTGAGTCAGGCTCATGATAAGAACCGATTGGACAGCATTTAATAAAGGGATTATCTACAAAGATAAGGATTGGGGTCATTGTATAAGGAATAGTGAAGCAGCCAGGGCTGGGAATAGGTAGGGAGCCATCACCTCCCTGGGGCCTCAGTAGCAGGTGGAGGAATTGTAGGAGAGTATGACCAGAGGCAGGGGAAGGCAGACCCTCCAAGTGATAGGCAGTGGGGAGGGACTTGGGGTACTAAATACTCTGAACTCTGCTTCTTTTTGCCCTATGGTCTCCTCTAGTACTTCCCATTGGCTTTGGAGAGGATAGTAACCATGTCAACTCTGGTTAGTTCTGGTCCTTGGCTCCTGTGAGTGACTAAGATGATATTATTATTACTACCACTTACTGGGCACTTACCATATTCCAGGAATTTTACTGAGTACTGAGCATACATTAACTCATTCAATGCTCCCACTATTCTTTGTGACAGATATGATAATTTCTACTTCATATGTAACAAAACTGAGTCTTGGAGAATGACTTGCCTAAGCTCTCACAGCTAGTAAGAGACGATGCTTGGGTTTGAGCACAGGCTGGTTTTATTTAAATTAAACTGTGCTCTTGGCAACAAAAAATGTGTCTTATCTATTTACTTACTTTTTTTTCAGTCAATGTGACTCTGGATCCAGATACAGCTCATCGTGAGCTAATTCTGTCTGAGGATCGGAGACAAGTGACTCGTGGATGCCTCCAGGAGAATCTGGACAACTCTTCTAAGAGATTTAGGATCTTACCCTGTATTCTGGGCTGTGAAGGCTTCACTTCAGGGAAACATTACTTTGAAGTGGATGTGGGAGAAGGAACTGGGTGGGACTTAGGAGTCTGTCTGGACAATGTTCAGAGGGACGTTGGTCTGATACAGGAGCCTCAGTCTGGATTCTGGGTCATTAGACTATGCAAAAAGAAAGGCTACTTAGCACTTACCTCTCCCATAACTTCCCTTTATCTGAGGGAGAAGCCCCTGGTTGTGGGGGTTTTTCTGGACTGTGATGTCGGAGTTGTATCCTTTTACAACATGACCACTGGATCCCACATCTTTACCTTCCCAAAGGCTTCCTTCTCTGATACTGTCCGGCCCTATTTCCGGGTTTATCAACATTCTCCTTTGTTCTTGCCTCCCCCAGATGAGTAAGGAAAGAAGTAAAATCTCCTTCTTGGTTTAACTAGCATAGAAAATATAATGTCAGCCCTGTGAGGGCAGAAATTTGGTCTGTTTTCTTCACTTCTGGTACTCAGAACAGTCCTGGGCTTTTAGTGGCTACTTAATACTTCTGCTTTGAATGAATGGATAGAACAACGGCAGAAATACCACAGATGGTCAGCCTGAGCTGGGGAAAGCCAGATAATAGCAATGATCATGCATTGTCTTCCAAATCCCCCCCCCCCCAGTGGATTCAGAGCTTTGATTTCCAAGAGTCTTTGGGTGACCTGCAGGGTGACCCAGAGGTCAGGAGGTCTGAGTTCTCCCAGTTTGTTTGATGCCATAGGAACTCATGGGTGGGGGGTGAGGCAAAGCTGCAATGGTCTCTGCCGACTGCAAGAAAGAGCATGAGAACCAACATAGTGACTCTTCTAACCACTGACATTTGATTATTCATGTGAGCCATAGCCCTGGATGATACAGTGAGTGCAGATGCCTTCCAGACCTAGTGAGCTCTGCCTGGGCAATAACACGTAAAGTATGAAAGAAGAGTTAAAATTGGCTTACAGTGATATGTTTCAAATGGGAAGGAGATTCAGAATAAAAACAAATTTTCTTGGGGGACTCAGTACTGGAAAAGAAGTTGATATGTTCCAGACTGTGCTAAGCCAGCTATCTTGAAATAGCTAAAGATCTCAGCAAATAGTTACCACTGGCATGATTGTTGGCAGACTTTGATATGATTTTTCTATGATCAAAGAGACCTTAGCTATACCTGGGTCTATTTTGAAGAGAACATTCCATGGCAAACCTAAATTATCATGGCTGAGTTGACTAACGGCAAGATCATAGTGAAGTCAGCCAAGCCACAAACAATGTAAGTGATGCGGGTGTGATGCCTGGGGCTTTAGAAGCTGTCTGAGATCCTAGGGATGGTAGAGGTGTGGCTAAAGGGAGCTGGCAAATTTGGGGAGGTGCCGTTCCAGCCCTGGTCTCTGGATTTCCTGGACTGTCTGCATGGGAGAGACATGAACTTGCTTCAGTCACTATCATTTTGGGTTTTCTAGTCAATGGAACTTAATCTAATCTACCAGGGCACAGTGAGTTGCTGTTCCTTTAAAAAAAAAAAAAGTAGCCATAAAATCATCTACTCCTTACATGTTTTGTTTCCATGTATTTAATTGGAATTCTGTAACTTTCTGAATTTCATTTGTATGTATGAGTTTGTTTAGATTTTCATTCCCCTTCTTGAGTCAGTCAGGTCATTCAATTTCTTTTAAAAAGCAGTTTATTGAAGTTTTCAAATGTATTTGCACATAATTCTTCAAATTACTCTCAAAACTATTAATTCCTGTATATGCTCTTTCAGGTTTCCATTTTATTTCCTGTTTTCTTTTTTAAAAACCTTTATTAGAGTAGCTAATGCTTTGTTTAATGTAGTAGCATTTCTTCCCGTTAAGGACGAGCAGAACTTATTTTTTGTTTAACTTGCCTGAACCCCAGTCAGTTTCTCATTTTATCTTTATTATCCTTATTGTTTCCAAAGGTTTATTTTGTTAATTAAAAAAAAAATTTTTTTTAGTTGAATGTTTATCACCATTCTTTCTTGTTCAGCAATCTGAGTGTTTAAGGGTATAGACTTTTCTCTGAGCAGGGTACTCAATTCTAGGCCCTGTCAACATTCGGAGGCCACTCCCCACTGGGCAAGACCACATTCCAAGCTGTAGGATGGAGAAAGGGACATAGAAGTAGAGCAAAGGGCCTGCAGCCAGCAGCTAATTTTTATGTAGCTTCGGAAAACCTGCCATACAGCTTCCTACTTGCACTGCATTAGCCAGAACCAGTGGGCTGAGGCTGTGTGCGTTATCCTGTATGTATTTAGCCAGAAAAGAAGAGGGCCCCCCGGTGCCCCTTCCTCAGACCTTCTAGACAACCTCTCCCACTGCAGTTGCTTGCAAGGTCAGGTACGTGTGGTGTCTGTGACGCTGCACCAGAGGACCGGAGACCGAGCACAGCAGGAAGGAGAGGACAGCAATTGAGGGAGCCGCAGGAATGAAAACGATCAACCGACCCAGAGTCTGTGCTGAGGTAAGACCCAGCCTCCTCACCATGGCCTAGAAGGCAAATTCTGGCCTCGAAGGCCTTGCCTTCCTGGATTAATAATTACTTTTCCTGCCTCTGACCTTCCACAAATAATGGTCTTCTCTTTGGGCCCAGACAGGGCCAAGGTTGTTTTGGCCCAAGGGCTTTTGCGCATGCTGTGTTCTAGGTTCATAGCTGCTTTTTCTGAAGCTGGGTGAGCTCATTCCGATCACCAGCTGTGCAGACAAGAATTGGGGGGCAGTTCACATCCCAGGAGGGAAACTTCAACCAAAGAGGGAATGGGGTGGATGGATAAAGTCTCCAACCCAAATGACCTGCAGAGGAACAATTCTGGGATGCACTTCTACATGTTGCCTCAAAGGGCATCCAGTGAAATGGAACCCAAGTGCTCACAGCAGCAATCAGGACAGGAATGCATCTACCACTGCCTTTTCCACCTTCCCTGCCTCGTGTCCGTGTTCCAGCACACCTGCATTCTGGGGTCCCATTCTAGTAACCACCTGCACCCACTTCCAGGTCTGAGCTCAACTTTTCAGAGAGAGCAAGCACCACCACCTCCCTCTCTCGTGTCCTCTTTCTATAAATAAATATAGAAATGGATATAGATATCAAATGATTAAATCCACAGACATTTATTGTGGAATACTGTAAAATATAGTTAATTATACTCTCAGTTCTAAGGAACAAACACTCCTACTATGGTGGTAAATCACCTTCCCCATATATATGTTAGATCTTGCATGTTTTTCTCAGGGGGAACTCTTCCCCATGGCATTAACAATTATTTTAATATGTGGTTTTAAATGACTGTAGCAATCTCATAATCACTCACATATACATTTGGGTTGTTTCTTGCAATTATAAGTAACGTTCAAATGAACATCACTGTATGTGATTAGGTCTTCAGCTCTCCTGTTTTTCCTCAGGGTGGGTTGCCAGAGTGACAGTATATGAACGTTTGGTTAAAAGACTGTTAATATATTCTTGCCCCTCTCCTTCCTCTTCCCCCACTTCCTCTATCCCCTCTTCTGTTCCTATAGCTCTGGCTGTCATTGGCTAACCCCTCTAGGAGCTGGGAACCTTGGGGGGGCTTTGATAACAAGGGGAACTATGGGCAGGAGTTCAGATGGGAGAACCTTTCCCAGATGGGAGTGAAGAATGTTGTAGTTTGGAGGTGAAAACATCACTGAAGCAGAGATCACCTCATTAATACCCACTTCTGTTTCCTCATGTAAGAAAGGGATGGATACAGAATTTTAAAAACTAGGGGGCTGAAGGGGCAGGGGGCAAGAAGCTGGACACATCTGGGATTTTACTTCAGAAGCAACACTTGCTTCTCCTCAAGGACGGACAGAGCTGTCACTGTTGTAGAAGACTAATTCAAGGCCATCCACTGAATGCGTGTCAATTTCTGCATCAAACCGCCCCAAAACTTTGTTGCTTCAGACTGCTATCAATCATCACACTCACAATGCTCTAGGTCAGCTGGAGGTTCTTGTGGGCAGGGCTGTATGTGGCTGAACCCGGCTGTGCCTTCTCGTGTGTCTGCAGCAACTGGAGAATCAGCTGGTGCTAGGTGATCTGGCGCAGCCGCACCCCTAAGTCTGGGGGCTGGCAGGCTGTTGCCTGGAGCGCCTCCTCCCGCTAGCAGGTGAGCTTAGCCTCTTTCACATGGTTGTTTCAGGGCTGTGAGAGAACCAACCAAAAGGGGAACAAGTTGCAACGCGCCTGGCTCTTTTGAAGCCTCTGCTTAGGTTACATTTGTTAAATCACTTGGCCAAGCCCAGATCCAAGCGATAGAGAAATACATTCCATTTCTTGATGGGAGAAGCTGCAAAGTCACAAAAGCAAAAGCGTACAAAGAGAAAGAGGATGAGATGAATTCAGGGCAATTTTTGCAATCTATCATTAGAAACTTACTGCTTAAAGTCTCTACATCTAAACTAAGAGAGGAATAGAGATTCAGAGACACTCTGAGTCCTTGGCCCATAGCAGATTCAGCCCCAGTCTCTCCCCAGAGACAAGGTCTACTGGACTCTTGGCAACATCGGTAACTCCACTCTGCCCACACAAACAGCCTGAGCCCCTGGGACTCTGAGAACTGATCCTCACACCCACCTCTCTTAGCCCTGCCCCTCATGCTTTTCTATGTGGATAGATGCTTCTGTGATTATAACCAACCACCTGGACCTGCATATACAGGCACTGGCTTAAGAATGTGGTTTGCGAGACTCGGGCTGTGTGAATAACCTCGGGAGCCTGGTTTCTTAAAATATATGATCTGGCCTCCAGGTCAGAACTGGCCCTTCTGTTCCGAACACCAAGAGCTACAAATCTTGTCTCACATCCCCTCCTGCTCCAAGCAGGGCTGGCCCCCCAGGATGGAATCCGGGAGGGGTGGCAGACACAGAGAGCCCGGGCTCCTTGAAAATACAGAAACATGGTAACATGGAAATGCAGCTTGCTCCAAACTGCACGTAGGCGAACAAATGTTTAACTTCAAACCCTGTTATTTGCCCTGTGAATATGGTCTTTATGGGGATGGTCAGTTGGAAGTCTCAGCTGAGGGGAGGATGCTCTGCCCAGGGCTCCCAATCAGAACTCCAGCCTGGCTGTTTCCATGGGGCTTCCCCAGCCAATGAGGTTGGATGTTTTAAGTACCCGATTTGATGTAACTTTGCCTTATTCTCATTTATTGCCTACTATTAACTGCACTATGTGTAGATTCCTTTCCTCTTCTGTTTCTATAATAATAATAATAATGTTTTCTTTCCTTTTTGAAACCAAAACACGGCTGTTGTGAATCTTTTGTTCAGAACACATGCCCACCCATAACACCAGCCTGAAGTGGAGTCTGCACTTGGTTCTCTGGGACTCCCAGGGAAGGAAAAGAATTACCAGCAGCTGGAATTGGAAATGCAGGAAACTCCTCAGGCCCTTCACCCCAAATTCTCTTCTTCACCAGGAGGAATAAGGAAGACAGAGATTGTTGTTCAGGAAGGTGTTTGATTAGCATGTTAATGAGCATGGGGCCAAGAGAA